CACACACACACACACACACACACACACACACACACACACACACACACACACACACACATATATATATATATATATATATATATATATATATTTTAGTTACCAAAGTGAAACTAAGTGATCTTAAATAACTGAGTGGTAATATTCATTATGTGAGTCATTACGGGAAATACTTTTTCCCCAATCTCAAGGCATGGGTCGTTCTTTTTTATGATAGTTTTTATTCATTTTTCTTTTACCTCTTTATACTTTTTCTTGGCCTTTTCAAAAATAGCAATATGTGCTTGTATAGCGTTCTATAAAACAATGTCCCCGATTTTAACTCGAGTACTATGTTCATACTATGTGTTCAATAGATTCCTATATTTATTGACTGAAATACTTCGCAAGCAATTCATGCGTGAAAATTGACATAATATTGTGACAATTTAGGAAAACTAGCATTGTGACCCATATTCTAGCTTTATTTATGGAGTGAAGCATTTGTAAAAATATGGCTTTTATAGCGTTGTGTAGCATGCTTTGTTGGCAAAATGTGCAGAAACATAAAAAGAGTACTTTTTGTTTAAGGGAAATTTTTTCAACTGCACAACCACTAGGTAGCCAACAATTTACCTTGCCCTACTTTCGCTGTATATCAATTCAGTGCGAGATTTCAGCGGGCCCAAATTGGGAGCGGATAATAGTAGTCACAGATCTGCTTGTCACTTCGTTTAGTAATACAGCTGTGTAGATCTGTCGAAAAGCGCAATAATGCAGAAACAAGGAAAGGTATCGTCCCTCTTGTATATAAAAGGGAAGGTGTTTGCAAACTCTTCATAGTCTCATGAGCCTAATTATAATGTACTCACTAGTCTGCAGGACAGTTTTAGGGCATTATGTTCAGCGTCATGTAAGTAAGCTACTGGACATTAGTAATGCTCAACTATAATATTCTCAAGTTGTTCTTTCGATGTTCCAGGTAGGCCTTGTGTGACCATTTACGATTGAGTTCATCATAAAATGATGTAAGTAGGCGCACATGTTGGTGATGATTTGATGTCGTGCCTATATATGGCACTTCAGTGAGCATTTTGGAGAAAATCAAACATTGTCGTCAAAGTTTTTAATAATGGCCTGAACATGGCAAAGTTGTTTAAAATCCGTTGGAAATTGGGACAGGCTTGAAGTATTTAGAGCACCTTCGGTAAGCAGCTAAACTAAAGCAATGAAAAAAACAACTCGAACTCAAATTACACACCTTATCGAGATCACTGCTGCTGTTATATTGTTGTTGCAGTATTAAAAACAGCATAATGCAGTAAAATAGCAAAACTGAATGGTTTCGCAGTTCATGATTGCTTCGAAAAAACAAAAATCACTTTTGGTACTCAACCATGCACATACTGACCGATTTGTGACATCACCGCATGCAATGTGCACAGGAAAGTGAAAAAAAAGAAGGCGTGGCAGTTCCCCTACTACAAAACTCAAGAAAATGCGTAGCATGGGCAGAGAGCGACTCACGTTTGTACAGCTCCCGCTTCCCTGTTTATCAAAGTGTCAATCATAGCACTGTTTGAAATAGGTATGTAAGGTGTCACAGCCCCAAGTAAATTCATGTTAGGAAAATTCGAAATCTTGGTGTGCGACAAGGGCGCTACTTTTGGTGCAATTTATTTTGTTTTCCTCTGGTTACGGGTCCTTATGTGCGCGTCGTTTGCAGAAAGTTGTGCCAGGTTCTTTCATCAATCATATTTAGTCATGCAGCATCAGTATAAAGTCTAGATGAGATGTAAAGTGGGCATTTCTAATACGTTTACCTATAGTATTAGAAAAAGTTTTTTGGATACTTCAAGTCAAGATCACCACACATTTTCAATGCTTTTAACAAATTTTTGCGTAAGAAACAACACAAAAAAGAGCGTACATACTTTAAGAGCATTCCAGGTTTTGACTCAATGCAAACTTCAAGCTTATGATCAGCCACACCTCTCCTCTATTTTTGTACTTTTCTTTTTTCTAATCTTGAGTATAGCACGCGATGAAATTGATTTAGGCTAACCTCTCAGCTTTCTACAACAATGTACCTCTCACTGACTCTAGGTAGCTGCTGAAGTTTTACGTTTTTGCTGATAATCATGATTAATAAAGTAAAATGAGTGTGTACCTTCCTGTGGGTGTACCTTTAAAACTTGCACTCTTTGATCACTCACTTGTTTCAAAACCTGACGCGGTACACTTCTGTCACGCAATATTGCATGCTTTTTTAACGTTTATTTCACTACAAGGCATGCACATAGTCTTCTTTTGAAGTCACTTCAAGCAATACTACTAGACCTTAAATTTATTATTCCCTTTATTTTGCACCTTCCTCAGTTTTTTTACCCACAACCAATGACACCAGGGCCGATGTTTTCGCGAAACGATTACAATACCGCGTGAAGCTAGTGCTGAAGTGTGATTCAAACCCATTGATTCTAAAAATCACTAACTAAAAGAAGCATGCTGTATTACACACCCACAAAGACGTGGCAAGGATGCTTAAGTGTTCTCAGTACAGGAAGCACACGTGAGCCGCATACTAATTCACTAGAATTGAATGCATTTGTGGCAGTAGTGCTATTGGAGACTTAGCCACAAGGTCGTTTCTTCAAATTAACCCAATCAGAGTTCTCAATTGGTATTGTTTTTCGAAACAAGCTCCCAAACTACCTGGAGCTTGTCGTCAGCGATGTACCCTTCACTTTCCAGTTCATCCAAGCGAAATGAGCGGGCAGTACAATATACTCCGTCATTGTGCTCTGTATCAGGCCTTTCAAACTCTTTAGTATTAGTAGTGACCACCAGCCTCTGACACTTTTTGCTTTGTGACGGATGTTTGATGGTGAGCCTCAAGTTCTCGTCAAAAGGCCATTGAAGAATGCCGTCTATGATTCCTTTGTGCAGCCTGATGTGCGGACACACCAAAACATGCTGTCCATCTTTTTTTAAAATATATGCCTGGTGACAAGTAATAGCCTGATGTGTACAGTTTTTTCTTGCCATATGTACAAAATCCACTTGCAAGTGTTCTGCCTTTAATTGCGCTCAGGCCTTCTACAGAGAACTCGTGTCGCTTAAGTGTGACTGAGCTTAAGGCTGCGATTTTTTCTTTATTTTTACAATCAAACCGGCTTTGCTCTCGCACTCCTTCACTTCAAGGATTGCGGCAACAGTTTCTGCACAGTTGCTGGAGGCTAGCTTCGTGACATCCTCAAGATCTCTTCTCATGGCTTCCCTCAGCACGCTTCCCTCACCAGAAACAATTTCTTTTAAATCCGCTCTAAAGGTGGTTGCTGTTTCTTTTTTCAGCTCTTCGACACATCGCTTCGTACCGTATAAAAGATCTTTCAGTGCTTCGTGTGAATTGCCTATTGTTCCTGAAAGCTCTTGTAACATTTGACCATGGTAATTCAGTGTTACTGTGCTATGTAATACATCTGAGGCAGACACAACACTGCCCAAATCTCTAGTTCTATATGATATTTCTTGTAGTGTTTCTTTCATCGTGTTCATGTACTGCGAAATATCATTGAGGCAGTTACTTTGGGTGATATTTTCCGGCGTAAGGTGGTCTAAAGTGTCTTTGATTTCACCTACACGCGTGTACATGTTTGCATTCAAAGCCATCATTGTCGCATTCTGGCTAGATGAGTTTGTTTGAGGACTCGCCGCTGGCACCGACATCACGTGATCCATGCACTCGCTCTGCATGTGGGCACACACACTATTACAGCGTACGACCATCGAACATCTAGGACAGGAAGTAGAGTGGTGGTCACAATCCTTGCAAAAGTGTTTGTTGAGTTCCGATGCAGGCAAAACAACGTCGCAACCACGGTCTTCGTTCCAGCATTTGACCTGGAAGAGAGAGAAACAAAGTACTTCAGATACTTTTTTACGCCTCTTCAAAAGCTGGTGCTTTCCGCATCCTTGAGGTTAATAATGTTTCGTGCTGGGAAGTTCAACACTGTTCATTGCACTTCAAGCAAATGGAAAAGAAAGCATGGTTGATGTGCCATCGCATGTTTTTGTAAGTGGAGACGAAGATACAGTGAAAACTGTTGCTTTGGCGAGTTGGTTCATGTTTGTTTAGACTGATTGTCAGCGCAAAAAAGATCAAACTCTTAGAAAAGGCACAATCAGCGCCGTGTGTGTCTTTTTTAGAAGCTCTGTATTTTTCGCGCTAATAAATTAGTGTAAACAAAGATACAGGTATATTATTTAAGCAAGATGAATTGACAGCTGAATATAACTTATTCTTCATCGGTATTTACCACAGTCATATTGACTAATTGAAGTTATCCTTAACCTAAAGAAAGCAGTGGTAATCAGAGAAATAAGGATAACGTGGAAAGTAAATTGGAGGCAAGCAATGATTCTTCTCATATAAATGATAAACAAACGAGCGCAGGCGAGCAGAGGCGTAGAAGACGATGAAATGTCACGTGGCTTTCTGCAAATCTTTTCGCGCTGATTTAGCAGTTCTTCAACATCTTTTGGCAAAAATATCTTTTACGCAAAAATTTTTTCATCGCAAGCTATAGAAGATACCTTCTGCATCGTTGCTTCGAGCTACTGGTGGCGAGGACAGCTGCCAAAGATATGGGCAGTAATAAATAGTTTTTCTGGGAAGATCCGAACACACAGGCCATTCGAAGCACTCGCTTTGAAACAAGGAATAGATTTGCAAACCCTTGCAGAGGATTTCGCAGACGTGTACAAATCGGGTAGATAAGCAGGAGCGGCAATTCCTCTGTCTCCCCAGTTTTCCACACGATGGATCGCCATTCACCCTTCGAGAGCTGGATATGGCACTTAGCAAATTAAGAAGACGCTGTGCCTCTAGTCCCGATTTGATCACAATCAAATGCTGACAAACCTACCAGATGAGCGAAAAAGGGCCCTTTGGACATATTTAATTATGTATGGAGTACGGGAGAAATCCCATTTGTTTGGAGTACAGCAAGGGTGGTGCCAGTCCTAAAGTCCGGAAAACATCCTACGAGCCTCGGCGTCCATATGGACCGTATCTCTTACATCATGCGTATCCATTGATGGAAAGGTTAATATTACAAGATTAACTTGTACCTTGAACAAGGAAGACGATGGCCGTCGTGTATGACCGGATTTCGCCCACGCCTGATTGCCCAGGACAGTGTTTGGACCTATTAAGCCACATCGAGCACCACCGCATCAGCGGACTCTCGACACTCGCCGTCTTCATGGACGTTGCCAAGGCATATGATTGTGTGCTTCAGGCAGGCATCGTGAACGGGGCTCCAAGCCATGGGTGTGTCGGGAAACGCTCTTCGGTTCGTACATGAATTTCTCAGAGACCCTGTGTTCGTGTTAAGCTTGGAACTGGTAACGAGCGAAGAGAGACGCGTTTCCTTCGGCGTCCCACAAGGAAGTGGTTCCATCTTCCTTGCGTTTTAACGCTGTGATACGCAATCATTTCAAGGCGATCTAGAAGTTTCCACACCAAGCATGTGTCATTTATGAACTTTCTCGTGAAGAAGCGACGCTGTTGTACCGCATAAAAACCGCTCCGCATACACCCCGGCCTGGTCATTAAGACGGGGAGATACGCTTCTCCGTTCTGTGCCTTCTGTGGTGACATCGGGATAATGAACATTTCATTTGGCGTTGCCCACAGTTGATATGCAAAGGGCAGCGATGATCAGCACCTTGCGAAAAGGCTGTCATAGGCACCGGACACGTGATGACGTCTCTTTCCTGAAGGACCCGCGGCAACCAGGATGAACGTGCAGCGAATTTTGTTAGTCTTCCTGCGAGACCCTGGCTGTCTGACACGTGGTGACAGTTTCCAAATTCAGGAGATGCTCAGCGAACAATTGCCGCCATGCAGGCCAGGCTAACCCGCCTGCTGCAACACCACCACTACCAACACCATCACCAAATTTTTCGGACTGTCACCATTGGAAAACTAGATCATAGTAGCTAGTCGTATATAGTGCTGAAATCCACACCGACAACTGGATTAACATGGTATACAAAGATTGAGCAAGGAAATACAAAAAAAACAAAAAAAAAATTACTAACAGATCCTAAAACAGTGACGCTCAGGTCCCCGATATATTTAAGGCAAAGCTTCAGGTGCCTCGTGGAACGGGAAGAGCGACCTACAGCTTATCCGTGGTGTATAACCTTCAGAAAGCAAAACATTCCGTCATGGGTTGGTGTAATTATGGCATCGAAAGTAGCCCGAATTCGTGACGGGACCAAGGCGTCATTGTCATATTCATGTGATGCTCACGCTTGGTTCAAGAGAGCTGAACACGAAACACGGGAACTGCAGACAGCTTCCAATTCCTCCCATCTTTTAAAAAGTGCGGAATAGTGTCGGTAAGCTTTCGGGGAGGGGGAGGAACGAAATCATTGTCTGATAAAAAAAAGATGGCTTTAGTCTTCCAGTCTCTTATATGCAGATACGTAATAAACCGTGTAGACTTTTAAACACTTTATCTGCTAGCAGCTTGCTGCCCTCCTTGCATAGTTGCGCACTCAAACATCTCAATAGCAATAATGCTATCTGCGTACTTCATGCGTTCGGAGATTCACACAAATCTTTCGAATCGCGAATTGTGAGCAGTGCAGTTCAAAACTGCTCCTTACAATATACCGCAGTACAGTGCTTGTTGGGCGAGTTGGTTTATTATTACGATAGCTTTTACCGCGAACTAAACACGAGAGACGGACAAGGGCAATTTTTTTCCGTCTCTCGAGTGTATTCACGCTGAAAGCTACCATAAGAATAGCACCTCCGGATTCGTCATGCCATGAGACTGCCGAATATTCGTGTACAAGCTTTTCGAGGCCAAATTCACAAATGGTCAGGCACTGGAAGAAACACAACTAGAGTGTTCACAATAAAGGGCCATAATAACACTAATGAATATTTTGGGCTACAGTAATATCTTGTGGCAAAACCTGCAAGGCAACTGCCGTTTAGCGTTTCCGAAACTAAATACGCAAAAAGAGCAGGACCTAAAAAGAAAGAAACTTATTCACAATCCTGAAAAGATAGAGTACAAAACGTCTCGGAACATCCCGATCTACCTCGCATAAATTAGGCAGTGAAGTACGATGCTTCAGACGACCTTACAATGTGATGCGATCATACTCGCTAAACACCCGACAAGACCAAGCGTACGGACGCTCAGTTACACTGCAATACTGAATAACACAACACAGGAACGTTAGGCCGTGACATGCTTCTTTCGTGTACGGAAGAAAAGTTAAACCGGATGTTTCGATGGCAAGTGTTTAGCACGAGCTTCTCTGATCCAACACTGACAGCTGCAAGGTAGATTCGTGGCTGAAGAACTGCTCACTCTCGCACGCACTGAACAGTAAAGCCGAGAACAATGTAACTCATTGCCGAAATGATCTATCAAACCTTCTTGAAAAACTCGAGAAGCACGAACATTCTCGACTACAGATTGCTTCATAAAACTGCCACGAGTGTGCTCATTCTATGATAGCTGTTGTGAGATCACAGCAACGGTGCCATTTGTCACCGCAGCCGGTGTGGTACTGTTATAGTGTTAATCAGCAATAAAAACGATGTAACAAAAATATGCTGTATGGAGCTGGTTCTAACCTGGGTTCTTTCCGAGGCAGTTTAGTATTTTAATCAAAATCGGAGCTGTTTTCTTTTTCATTTCCGGTTTAATGCCACACACCTCGCGTCGTTTGTTGTACATAATAAAATACAGAGCGAATGATGCTCTTCCACGATGCTCTACACGTTCCTCACTGGCATAGAGCATCGGACGCGCTATCTTAAGGCTGCATGTTTGAGTCCCGCAGATGGCAATTTATATTTTCATCCACTTTCTTTCTTTGCATTTGCTTTGCAATTACTTCTTGCACACCACCTATAGCTCCCTGTGCACCATCGACTGTTAGTTCACAAAGATATTGTGTCTAACGATGAGAAGTGAGGCTTTAAATGTACGCTTTAATTTCACTCACAGCGAGTCTCGTTGTGCACACTTGGTGCCTTAAATAGCTTGCGAAGGATCATGTGTCCGCTACCAGGTCGTGAAAGGAGTCACTTGTTACGCCATGCTAACACGCAAAAGGAGTGCTCTACACTCGCTGCAACGGACACTGGAGCCCTAAGCAGAGCTCCCAGTTTAAATGCGCACATCCCGAGTGCTCCTGTAATAGTTAGCCAAGAGTTAAAATATATAATATCAGAGGTAGCTGACTGAAATAAATTGCCTAATATTTACAGCCCTTTGCGCACTGGTCCGATAGATAGGTCATTTCTGGTTCGATAGATATTGCCGCATTCAACCTGCCAGAGGAGAGCTCGCACAGCCAGAGAGGAAGACGAAGCTCTTCCCGGTCCTCTTTACGAGCGCCTTTCATTTTAAAATAAAGTGAGCTCTTATATATCGGACTCTTGCTGTGTCTGCGTCGTGACACTGGTGAGGTGCTGGGTACATGTCCAGGACACCTTCCAACAGCCCGGATCTAGTTCACAAAGACTTCCGCTCGTCGAAACCCTGTTCACCGCGCCAGTCGCCGCCTGTTAGGCCTGAGCCCACAGTTCATTCCTTGGACGGAAAACATGACCGCGCCGGGAAGCAGTTGCCCCACCATGACGAGCCCAAGCACGAAACAGGTGACTGGTTTCACCCCTAAAGCTCCTGTAGACTTCCATGCAACACATACGAGGACGCAGATGACTGGCTTGAGGATTTCGAGCGCACAGCCACGTTAACGGGTGGAACACCGCAAAGAAGTTGGAATACGTGTATTTCCCTCTTCAAGACGGGGCTCGCGCGTGGTTCACGAATCCGTGTGGTCAATGTGGGACGAGTTCC